CTCAGAGTGGGGTCAGCATACTTAAAGAGGCAATGTGCGTCTCTCTCTCTCACACACACACACACACGGTGTGTCTGTCTTTCTGCCATGCTGTGTCTCCTCTCTCCATTTGTGCTGCCGTGTAGAGTGTGAGGCTACATTAACATGTTAACCTTTGAGGGCTCAGTCGAGTGCTAGTTCATTATTTAGCAGCAAGGCTTTCCCCGGGAAATATCCCACCCTCTTCCACCCCCTGACTCCATCACCTCAACCAAGCTTCACAATCATCGTTGTGTACAGTATTAAATTGCTTAAAATTTAAACTGTGTGTAGATATCTATATATAAAATATAGGCTTTTGTCTGGTGAAAAAAATTTCCCTGGAACCTAACCCCCTATTTACATTAATACTTATGGGGAAATTGGATTCGCTTAACATTGTTTCGCTTAAAGTAGCATTTTTTCAGGAACATAACTACACGTTCAGCAAGGAGTTACTGTAGTTAAGCTTGTATGCAGTGTAGTTGTAGCTGTGTAGGTCCCAGACTATTAGAGAGACAAGATGGATGAGGTAATATCTTTTACTAGATCAGTTTCTGTTGGTGAGAGAAACAAGCTTTCAAGTCATACAGACCACTTCTTCAGGGCTGGGAAAGGTACTTCAAGCAGCACAGCTAAATGCAAACTGGAACAGATTGTTTAGCATAAGTAGTTAGCACATATTGTAAGGGGCTGTTTGAGGTAGAGTGCCCCATTATGGTCATTCTCCCACAAATTTCTTTTCAGAAATATTACAGGACTGTATCAGAGCTCTCACTTGGCCTTAGGCCCTCATCCAAAAAAACACTGAAGTTGAAAGACTAATTGACTTCAGGGGACTTTTCATCAAGCCCATAGTATACACAACACTTTGCAAGTGAAAAATGGCCAAGTCTTTGCTGCCAAAAGGAGCTTGCAATTAAATTATTTCTGGTAGCATTTTAGTATGGAAACTGGAGAACACTGTTAAAGGTGCTGATCCTCAAAGAGATCTGCAAATGCAGTTTCTAAGCAGGGCTCTGCATATGAATAAGGGCCCACACTTTGCAGGACTGGGGCCACAGTTAGTTTTTTGTTCCCGATACTTGTATCTCATATTTGCTGTTCAATGCTGTATACAGATGAAACTGATTTTCATATGATTTTGCAAGCTGCTGTATGAAATGTGCATCTCATCTTATACTTGTCAGTTGCAGTGGACTAACAATGTTCAGGAGGAGCTGCTATTTAAAAAAAATTGCAAAGTAGGAAGAAGAGACCAATATATATTAATGCTACACTAACGACTCCTGGCATTAGATGACCTATGAGTGAAGAAGTGACAAAATGGGACCCAATAAGGGTGTCCTTATACAGCCAAATCTTCCACTTAAATCAATGGGAATTTGGCCTTTGTAGGACATGCGGTATTTGAACGCAATAGCTTCCTAGGTTACAAGGATGTAGAATTTCAGTGGGTTACAGAAATCAGTTTATGAGGCTGTGGGAAATGGAGCAGCCAAGGTCAACACTTTACTAACTATTAACAGAAATAGCATTTCAATTCTCTGCACAGAAAAGGTTTTTTGTGAATTCGTCAATGCTCTCCCCTATATAAATCAACTGACCCACATCCACATTGCTTACTAAGCACCATTCATTTTTAGGGGTACGCTATGTTTATGCAATACTCAGGAATAGTTTACAAATTGGCAGAGCTCTGGCTTAGAGACAATGAGATAGGTTTTCAGTTGCAGCCAAGAATCCTATTCACGTTTATACTGATTTTCCATAGCGTAACTCTTGGAAAGAACACAAAACACACTGAAGAAGGAAAATCACACAGCCTTCCTCCATTAAAAAAAAAAAAAAAAAGAGTATTCCTGTGTGTGTTTTCCAAGAGAACATATTAGGATGGAAAATCTCCACTTATTTTCTCTATAATATTAACCTTTCATTAACCTTTTTGCCTTAATTCCCAAACATTCTTTCATTGATGTTCCTATTTTATTAAATAAAAAATCCCCTCAAAATACAAATCTTTGTCCAAAAAAAAAGTCTGAGGAAAGATATCCCACTTCACAGTGGACTGGCTGATATTTTTTAATCTCCTCCTCTTTTGATTCTTTGTATTTTTTTGCTTGCTAATTATTTTGGGCCAACTTCTGCTCTTACTTCCACCTGTAAGAATTGAGAGTAATTCCACTGAAGTTAGTGATCTTAATCCAGTTTTCCACTAGTGGAAATGAGAGCAGAAATTGGCCCGTTAAATTCCTCTTAGAGCTAATTCTCTAAAGGGTCATGTCCCATTGATGGGGACTGACAATATTTTAGTGAGAAAGGACAGATCACAGGTGACTGGAAAAAGTACCTAATAGACATTATATTTGCAAAGCACTACAGCATGTTTAAAGTGCTAGACAAGTAATACATAATGGTAGATTTCAATCTGCCAAATGTGTTCTGGCATTCACGGAAGAAATGAATTGGACTGTCACACGAGAACGTACGCTGCAGAAAACTCAAAATGACATGGGATTCAGTGATTTAACAAAATCAATTTTCTATTAACTCAGTTTCCTGAGTTAGCATTTCTGCTGTAAGGAATGGGCAACAGCAGTAGGGAGAGAAACCCATGTTTGTTAGGAGTTAGATTTGGGTCTAAAAAGTGGAACAACTGATCCTGCATGCAAACATCCATGTGTCTTGCCTGCTAAATAACTATAGGAGTGGGCCCACAATGGCAAGTGGCTCAGGGGTATGAAATACATGATTAGCATGATCCAAACAGATTTTATTGTGCCAATACAAGTGTACGTTTGTGTGCACTGCCTGTGGCTAGAGTCAGCAAATAAAAGCCACGTGCGGCTGGCTCATTCTCTAGAGCTCACATTTACCTTCAGTTCTCCAAGGAGAAGGCAGGCATTTATTTGCCTATTGTGAAGGTTCATAATAACCACCACAGCACTTCACTTGAGGAAAGTTACTACAGGAGCTGAGAGAAAGAATGTGACTTTCAGCTGAATTCACATCTCTGTTGGCAGACATCTGCCATTTTAAGATCATCTCATTCAGAGATATTGAAAACGTAACAACCACACAAGAAGGGGGAAGCATTATTCATTGCTTCCTTGAAGGCGAGAGATTTTAATGTGCATGCATAAAAGGTTTGTTCTTACTCAAGCGTATAGTAGTTTAAAACTAAGCACACAAGGACAGTCTATAGGACCATTAAAACAGCCATTGGGAGAGGCAGTATACTCTACAACATTTAACTAAGGGCTGAGAGCCAAGAATGCCTCCATTCACATCCCAGCCCACCCAATGACTCACTGCGTGGCCTAGGGCCCAGTCCTACAAAACAATACTACCTAGCATAGGATTTACTACTGTGAGCAGTCCCATCAACTTCACAACAGTGAGCAACACAGGATTGGACTCTTACAGCCCCATTATCTGGCATTCCAGTCTTGCACTAAGGAAGGGTTATTATTATTAATCTATTTTGCACCTCTGGTATTTTCACATATTCTGAGGGATAGCCCCATCCAAGTTAGATCAGACCTAGAGCTCCTCTAACATATTCTGCTTGTTTCCTATAGCCATGGCCTATAGCCATGGGTCATGGGAAACAGACAATAGCTGAAGCAGGGAATTGCTCTGGCAATGTTCTAGCCCACCCTTACACTCGGGACTTGGTGGGGGGCAGATATAGTGCTATGACAGTAGCTCTGCACCATTGAGGGAGGCCTGTGACACTGGAAATATTCCTGCCATGTTATTTCCATCCCCTTTCTACAGTGGCCAGGGGCAATGGAGAAGCAGCTCCAGTATATCTTCCCTCCTCCTCAGTTACTACCTGAAAACATTTCATGCTTCCTTATCCTTCCACTATTTCTTACAGAGCACAAGACATTGTGAGTTCCTTAGTTTCCATCAGTTGCCCAGGATCCAGTAGTACAAACCTTTGGATGATCTAGAAGCATCTTTTTAACTTGCTCCCATTCCACTATCCTGGCTGCTGGGAGAAAGGAAGAAGGATGGGTAGCGTACCCCCTTTCCCAGCAACCAGGTTGTGTGCATAGAAAAAAAAGGGGATGAGGCATAATAGTCACCAATCCACCCACTCCCCATTTTTTCAAGTTTTCCAGAGCAGGCAATTAAAATAAAGACAAATACATGTTTAGAATCCAGCTGCTGAAACTGTGAGGGGGGAGGAAAAGAATAGCTCATTCAGAGTGGGCTTGACCACAGAACTTTCAAAGAGTTACTATATCAAGTACATTAATATCTAAGATATACAAATATGCCATGTGGGATTTTCAGATGCGCTCATTGTTGGGAGTTTTGTCACTGACTTCACTGAGAACCAAGTTAGGCCAAGGCCAAGGCCTTTTGAAAATCCTATCCACCAGTAAAGAGAGATGGGTCTGAACTGTAAAACTGGTTCAGAGTGTGAGGATACATGTCTTTACTGCCCAGTTAACTACTTGACTGTGAAATAATGTTCAAGCTACACAGAATGGTATATTAGCAGCTGGCAAGACATGCTAACTAGAATTGTAGCCTATATCCCAAGGAGCCAGACAATTCGAGTTAAAAGCACTACCATACTCAAAATAAGGGTTTGGACAGACTCAAGTTAGGGGCAATACTTGAGTTATGATTTGATTTAACTCTGCGGTGAAGACAAGTCCTGAGTGTGTTTGGATTGGGAGGTTTGGTTTGGACCAATCTCTAAGAATATACACGCAGAACAATAATTAAAAATTAAGAGCATGTTATTATAGCACATATAGTTTTTTAAAAATTTGTTAACTACTGTGACCCTCCAGTAATAGGGCAAACAAAATGTAATATGTTATTCATTTTGGCATAGTTTTCACTTTACTTTTAGAGAAGATGGAAAGCCAGCTTTTCAATATATTTTATCCCGATGAGCCACATCCATGCATAGACAAAAAGCTGAAAAGATTAAAAATATAAATCACAGGACAGCAAAATTTTAAAAAATGTCCTAAAATGTGCGTTTTATTTCATATCATTATACAACGTTTACATACAGGTATACTTTGAAAATTGCTCAGTATGTGTGTAAAATAAAGTGAGGCAAATACCAATTTATAAATTCCCCCCAATTCCACACAAATAAAATACATTTTAAAACAATCTCCCAAATTTATGTTTTCTCCAGAATTTACTTAATCTTTCATTTCAACATGAAAAATACAATGGAATGGATACTCAAGTTGAAATGCTGACCTACACATTTGTAATGAGCTGCAGGTATACAAGTTAAAAACCAAAAAGTCTTAAATATTGTATGTGGTTTACAAATCCTTGGTTTTATTGAATTAGCACAGCTCAATAAAACTCAGATAAAATAAATTACCATGCTGGACTAACTTCTGATTTGTACAATATCAAACAAAAGACCACAGCTGTACCTTTTGTTCAAAGTAGCACCAGTCCACACCTGATTTGTCTCTCCAACATTAACTGTCTTGTTATATAGCTGGCACTTGAGGTGATATTCTTTCTGACACATCAAAGATGCCTGGACAGACTAAGCATACTGGTGTTGCTGAACTCTCTACAAAGTGTAGGCAACATTATATTGGGAAATGGCACATTGAAACCATAATAGTTCAACCTGCATATGGCTTGCCCATTTTGGTGTTTTCCTGACCCCTGCCTAGTATTTAGCAGATGTTCCTGTGACTGTGGTGAAACTAAAATAAAAACATGTTTAAGGGGTTTCATGGCAAGCAGGTGTAAAAACAAAGAAATATATATGTGGTTGCAGCTAAGGAGGTTTTCACATGTTGTTTAACTCCAGTAAAGTTTGATCCAGCATCTGATGCATACTAAGGTTTTCTTCTTTGGCATGCGCCACTTTCTCTGTTATGGGATTAGAAAATCAAAATGTGAATAGCAGCTCTTTGGACACATCAATTTTCTTTACATGAAGGCATGCAATCATCACTTATAATGGAGGGGTTTATTATGATAAGAAATGTACATGCTCATAAATACCAATGTTCCCAGCCAAGACAGCAAGGGAACGGTCCAACTAACAAAATGAACTGCAAGTGATGCAAGTTTTGAACTGTTCTGCAGCTATGTATGTTAAAAACAACACATTGCCAAAAATGGACTAGATTTTTGTAAATTCCAGAAGCCATGTGCTGTGGAAATGGGGAGGTTTAATTTTTTTTTAATGAACAGGCTAATAAATGACAGACTTTGCTAATCTGTATTCTAGGCAGTGCCACACTTTTGAAGTCGCATTATAATTCATAACTTGCAGAGAATGAGAACAAAAGAACCAAAAACTGAAATTAACAAGTTATATTAGCTGCTAAATAAAACAACAACAGTTTTATTGGCAGTTAGTAGTTTTATGTTGCATGCACACTTTTTTTTTTTAATAGAACAGTCATTTAACACTCTTACGTGACATAGTATGTGAGCACAATGTTCTGGAGCTACATGCTACCAGAATCCAGTAAAACCGACTTTATTCTGATGCAAGCATACCTCTAAACTGACCAGGTATTTCCAAAAGGGGTTTCTATTTCAGGACTGCTTTTATTCAAATACAAGCCAATTTTATTGTAATTCAAAAGAGTGCATTAAATTTCCAGATACAAAGCAGCTGGGAATATATTTTATTTTGGTTTTGAAACCTGAATCTTGGCTAATATTTTTCTTCCTCTATTTACCAGTAAAACTCCAATTTGTGACATCAGCTAAAAAGGATTATGACCTCTCTACAAAGAGGGGGGCTTGTTTTTAAAATACCATCAGCTACCTACTGTAACTGGTACTGAAGTGGAAAGACACTATTACATAGGCAAAGAGAGAATTTGTGGCTGCTCCAAGATACTACGGGAGCCTTATCAGAAGCGTTACTTCTTCCACTTGCACTTCTTTCCCCAAGAGTGAACTGAGAATTTCATCCATTAATTTACAGCAGTTATAATATGTTGGAAATCAATTTATAGGTTTCTTGCATATTTCTACCTTCACTCATTCATTCTTGAGGAACTTCAGAGTAAGTATGTTTAGACACAACTAAGTTTATTCACACTAAAGTTTAATCCTCATTCAATGCCAGCTTTAGTTCATTAGTTAGGCGACTGTTTTGCTCAAGTTGCTGGTAGAGTTGGTCTGTACAGTCAGCAAGCAGGTTAGAAGAAAAAGAGAGGCAGAATGAACAAAGATTAGAAGAGAAACAGGAGAGCAAGAGTTAATAAAGAAACTAGTCACACCACAGACAGTTCAGCAACTAGTTACACACTGAGAGAAAATCTTTACCTTAGGGATCCCTTTATATTCTAGCTCTCTGATGACTAAATACCTACTCCAAAGCTCAAGAAACAGTTTACAATCTATATAGGATTTCTCTAAGACCCCTTTTGTGGAGTAGGCTTGTGAGTCAGGAAAACAAGAAGAAAAATGGGACAATTGCTACAGTATTCTCAGTGAAGCCTCGTGAAACAAACTTCCTTGCTTGAATTCACATACATGAGCAATGTACATAGGGTTTACTTGTTTTATGAATGCCAGGACTCCTTGCAGATGTAGAAGGGGTGGCAGAATTGTATTCAATACTAGCTAACTAAAAGCAATAGTATAATCAGCCTTCACTGCAGCAGAAATGCCTTAGTCAACAGCACACTATTTCTTGGCTCAATCCAAGTCATACTGAAATCACTGGAGCTTTTCCACTGAGTCTCCCATTTGGAGTTTTACACCATTGAGTTCAACAGGAATTTGCTCAAGATCCACATGCTTCACTGCATGTTCTCTTTATTGTGCAATTTGGTAGTTGAAATGGTACTTTAGGAAGAGAACGTGTATTTCTCAGCTACTGAAATAGGGAGATTTTGAGGTCTTTAAACTGGAATAAAAAAAACTCTCAAGTGCCCCTTTGACAGCTTTCACAAAAGACACCTTTCATGTTATAGATGAAATGATAGCATGCAAATTCACAGCTGAATGTGTTTCTTGTACACTACTAAAGGACCGTCAACAGAGTTCATTTTCAAGACTGGACAAAACTCTACAGTATTTAGACACTAAATCTGGAAAGGACTATTCCATGAAGTTGCATTCAGTTTCCCTTTCATTTTTTAGTGTATTTTTCTTGATAGCCTGGCTGTGAATTCTGAGACAGGTCTACACAGATTTCTGAACATCCTTACTCCACAACTTATTCAATTGTGGGGAACCATCCATTTTGCTTCTTTTACCCTTCTTGATAGCTGCAACTGCAGTGCTTTCCCCTGGAAGATAGGTGTCTAGCACCTCACAAAGATGGCAAGCCCTTGCCATGAATTAGTTTGTAGGACGCACTTGTGTAATGAGAGGCAAACACCAACTGCTACTCCTGAGAACCCAGGCTCCACTGACCAGGAGAGTAAGATCAGAGGATATACCAGAACACCACTACCAGACTGCCTCAGTTTCTCTTTTTTACCTTCTCTTTTCCCACATCAATGTTTTATATTGACATACACTTGGAAACTGTATCCAAACCTAGATGTAGCTAAGCTTCCATTTTAAATGCCAAAATGCATTTAGTGGTTATAGAAACAATACTGTGTTACAATTTGAATTAAAATCTGAATGTTTACCTGTGTCAGTCAAAACTAAAATTATATAAATCATTGAAGTAAGGATTCCCAATCTTTCTGTGTGCCCAAATTGAGACTAGTCTTAAAATAATTAGCCACACTTGGAAATGTTGATCTTGTGCTTAATTCACTAACTTTTAAATGTATACATAAAAGGGGAAAAAGCCAACTAGGGGCTTTTAACCTTAATAACTAGTGGATTTAAATTAGAAAAAGAAAAGAAAGAAAAACCATTGGCAAGGCCATAGTCAAATTTAAAAATAAATGTGTTTATAATCTGGACAGTCTTCACAATCATAGCAACTATCTGGTTAGACTCTACTGAAGTTACAATAAATAAATAAATAAACCCATTGTGTTCCCTCCACAGCTGGTTCCAGAACTTTTTCTAATAAGCAGTAACATGGGTGAACAAACAGATATACTGAGCTGACAAGATGACATGAGCTGAAGTTATTAAAGAAAAGGGGAAGAGGTAATTTCCAACTGTATTCAAAAAATGAAGGGAGTAAAGAACAATTACTAAATGAGAAGAAACAGCAGGGAGGGATGAAGGAAGTATTTTCAAGCCTCATAGAGAATTGCAACTAATGGCAGGTTTTAAAAATATAAATGGAAAAGCTCTACATCAGGTTACTTGATGGTATCTTTCAAACTGGAATGAGACATAGCCAAATTAAAAAGTTACTGTTCTACAACTTTAAAATGGACCACCCTCAAATTCAAGCTCAAGTACATTGGCCAGAGCTTATAAACGTTTTGAGCATTAGAACTTTAGCAACAAAATCAAATGAAAGCAATAATTAGTAGTCAGTTCAGTTTCAATTAATATTCACTTTAATGTAAAGCTATTAAAAAAAGGACTTTTTCCATTGTGAAGGAAATGAAGTTAAAATAGTTACAATGAACATAAGTCCTCCTGAAGCAGCATTAAGGCTTAGTTGTACATTACAGTAGGAGAGCAAGAAACCTCAGTATTTAGTGGTTTGTATTTAAAAGGAACACTGTCAGGTCAATCTGAACCCATCATTTTGGTTTTGTCAGACAAAATTTTACAAAACCTGAGATCAATGAAAAGATTTTAATTATACATGACAATGATACAATTTTTTTTTGTTCGGATTTAAAAACATTCCCCTGAAGTCTCTGCAACTTGAACTTGCAGCTTTGTCCTAGCACAGTCTGTGAAACTGACTAAGAATGAAAGTGAAACTATTGTGTTTCATCTCCCCAGTGAAATGTAAAAAGCAAACTAACAGTACCTATCTATGGTGATAGATCAATCAATTTTTAAAATTCTATAACCCATGTTGTTAATGAACACAGATAGGGACATTTGGTTATCTTATTTTGAAAAGAAAAAAAAAACATAGGATTTTTCACCACATGCTACCCCTTTAAAAGTTCTTTTACTAGAAGTTAAACAACAAACTTATATAATGCAGGAAGTCTTCCACATCAAGACTTCAAGCTAGTAGGAAATTTTGGACTGTAGAAAAACACAACTGTCAAACGCTTAAAGGCCAAACTGGACTCTCAGCTATGTTCCCACGACCGAATGACCCCAGAGGGAGCTGTGTCCTTGCAGATTTTGGCCCAACAATAAGACTCTAAAAAACCACTACACTCTAAGGAAAAAGTCATATCATCTGAATTTTAATTTGAGAGAAAAAGAGGATCGCGTTCCAAAAGCGACCAATTTAAGATAGCCAAGAGTAGCATTATCATGCCATAGACTGGTATTTTTCATTTTGAAATTCTGCATTGTTGATATTTTGGCAAGATGTTTGCTGGAGTCAGTCAGAAGGGGGAGGAAAGGACAGCAGAAAAACAAAGAAAAAATCAAAAATAATTCCTTATTGGCAAAAAAGGCAGATTTTTAATATGATTAATAGTTGAAATGATCATGTAAATAAATAAAAGGCAAAGGAATAGCAAAAGGGATACATCTTACACAGTGGGATGTTTATTTTACATTGAAAGAAGTAGAGTTTCTGTACAATAGAAGGCACAAAGAGAGCAATGTCCTGAGCCTAAAAGGAAAAAATAAGCTGGAGGACAGGACAATGAACCCATGAAACATCCAAGAGCTTGGAAAGGTGGTTTATCCAGCTTGATGAAGATATCTTTGGAGAGGTGAAGCAAAGAAATTTATCTGCATGAAGATAAAAGGTGGGAAATAAAAGTGGCATAATGGAAAGAACTCAGAAAGCAGCAGCAATAGCATAGTGGAAGCAAACATGCCAAGATGATTCCTAGTGAAATATCACACCACACTCCTTTTGGAACGCTATAGCAATGTCTCCATTTACATAACCATGGAGAAATGTATTTACAGTTGAGAGTCAATTCCTGATTATCGTTCCATTTGTTAAACTCCATTTACGAAAAAAAGGTACCTATAATTCAAAGATAATTACAGAAATGCAGTTATAGTTACTAAACCTTCAACGTTTATGGTGTTGTCTCAGATTTTAAGCCTACTTTCAAATTGGAAATTTCCCAAATTTAAATTATGCTACAATTGTTAGCGAGAAGATTTTGCATGCAAGGCACTGCACGTTATTCTCTGTAAATGGAGATAAAGCTGTTACAGTCCTACAAACTGTTTATAAGGACATTAGTGTGATAAATCACTGTGTGGAACTGTATTTCTGAGCTTAGAATCAAAACATACAAAACAGATAATATTAGGCCATAACCAAGAAGTTCCAACACTTGGAAGTTAGGAAAAAAAATAAAAAAATGAGTTTGTATATTTAAGGATGTAAAAAAAAAATTAAGCAGGGTGAAAAAATGTAAAACCTTCAATACATGCAAAAAACACTGGTGGCTCTAACCAAAGGCTAAAATGTGTTGAACGCTGAAAGTGAAGTGTAGAAATTGAAAGTAACATCTACAGGTAGGTGTGCTTTAGACAGAGCCACAAGTGTTCAGGGTTTTCCGATCTCAGTTTTAAAAAATTAGTGCACATGAGAGTTATCAGTATGGGGAGGGGGAGAGAACGTAAAGGTTTCAGCATAGCTGACTTCTGTTCAATGTCTTCAAAGCACACAAGAAAATTCAGTTTGCTTGAAACAACACTCTACCAACCAAACAAGACATTGGTTGGTCAGACCCTACATATCTTTCAATTTTATCTCTTTTTCATTTTTTCTACTCAAAGTAAAAATTTCTGCTTTTTTACTCAAGCCAATACTCTATACTTTCACCACTTTTTCTCTCAAACTACTTTATTTCACCACTAACAAATGTGTGAAGGTTTATTTTTCAAATGCTCTTCACAGAAACAACCCACATCTCAACAGCTGTCACTTCTATTTTTAAAAATGGTCTTAAAGAGGTAATCATTATGATAAAATGAAAAACATTCTCTGTATGGCATGTAAGGAGACTCTTATCTTTTGGCAACTTCAAAATGATGAGCATTGTAGAAATTCTTGAACAGAAGTGAACTCAGAAGTGGAAAGTAAAAGAACAACCAAAAGGGAAACGAGCCAGATAACTGCAAGGGAAAGAGGGTTTATGGATACAAAACAAATGGGTAAAAGTGAGTTGATTAAGCCACCCTTGCAAAACTGTCAGGAAATTTACCAGGCCAGGCACAATACTTGTCCACCCTTTAGCATGATGAAGAAAATACTAATGATGCTTTAACACTGAATCACACCCATTCAACGTATTCCTCCCCCTAAAGAGTGAGCAAGTATAATTTTGCAAGGCTGCAAATGAACAATCATGAGGGTAGAGAAGCAGGTGCAGGCACAGGTTGAGAGGACATTTACATGGAAGTCATATCATTGAGAGCGTGGTCCAGCTCCTCGCTGATTGCTTTGTACTTCAGTTTCTGAGAATATAACTCATCTAACATTCACCAGGGAAGGCAGAAGTGAAAGGAAATGGAGAATGATCAGGTGATTGAATGTGAAGGTGGTGGGATGGGACACCATCCAGAAACAGCATCAAAAAAGGGGAACAGTGCATAGAAGGAAGTGGCATGGCAGGCAGAGAACAAAAACAAACAATATGTAAATTAGGAAGGAATACAAATGGTGAACAGCTTTATGTGAAAAGTCAATTAAAATTACTGCATCATCAGCGAGCCAAGCTGAGATATAGATAAAGCCGAAAAAAATAAAGCGTGCGACGAAAAAATAATTCCCATTTCCCTAAACTGTATTTAACTTGCATTATAAAAGTTATCAAGGCACATGCAATGAGCTACAAGCCAGCAGGAGAGGGAAGAGTCTTGAAAATGGTGCTTAGGGAGAACCAGGTATCCCACTTCCGCCTTAAAAATGTTTTGGGTTTTGAATGATGTCATACCCTCAAGCTTTTCCAGAGGGTTAGTTCTTCCCAAGCATCTTATTTTTCTTTTTAACTGAGAAAGTGACTGTAAATTCTCTGCAGCTGGCTGGCTCTTTTATAACCTTTAAAGACCTCTTGCACAAGTCAGCTTTCTAGATCAGCACTTAAGGTTCTTACAATACTGAACTTAAAGTCAACACAATTTTAGGAGTAAATCTCATATAGCTTAACCTTTAATTACAAAGCACTATTGAATTCTATTCTTGAGATAAAAGAGAATTCTATTCCCTTTACTGCAATTCTGATAGATTTATCAGAGCCCTAAATGCAAACTGTGTGGCGTTAAATAGGCTGTGCCCCTGAATGTGTATACAAACCATTAACTTCACTGAAAATAGCAGCTGTTCTATGCCATGAAATAGTTGCCCTGACCTGCACTTATCTCAGTCATAAATTAAATTAACTCAATATTCCTAATTATAACAAACATACTACTCATTGCTGATATTTTAAAGTAATTAAACTAGCATATTAATAACATTTACCATCTGATCATTTTCCTTATCTGAATATCCAAGTAGAAGAGTTTAAAGCAAAAAATAGTCTTAGAATATCAAAGAACAAGAAACAGGCAAGAGCAAAACACTGTCCAGCTAAAATGTTTAATTATGGGAGTAATAAATTTGGATTGAAAAACACATCATTCATTTAGGATCTTATCCTGCCCATTTTAATTATGTGAGTAGTCCTACTTATTTGCTTGGGACTAGTCACATGGAATAAAGATTTGTAGGACTGGGCACTAGACGAAGCCCATGGGTGAATATCAGCTTTCTATTCTGCAGGAAGCGTGAAAAATAAAGCACAATCATACCTTCTAAGTCGTCGATGCTCTTCTCCAGCTTGGTTACTGACCTCTCAGCAAATTCAGCACGGGTCTCAGCCTGGAGTTAAAAAGACATACAAGGTCAAAAACTATACAAATGACATTAGGAAACTTTCATGATATTTACAAATACAAAGGTAACAATGAGTATGAGAAAAAAAAGTATGTTCAATGACAGAATAATAGGAAATAGGTGTAAAATCACAATCATCCTCCAATATTGTCTAATGCGGTATAGCTTTGATGCTGGCACCTAACATTATGCTATTTTCCACACTGACAAGTTAAATTTCACATTAATCAGAGCAGTATCGTAAAATCCATTAATAGAGGATTGTTCTAATTTTACCTCCTTCAGTTTGTCAGTCAGGATCTTAATCTCCTCTTCATATTTGTCTTCCTTTTGTGAGTACTGTAATTAGAAAGAGCATGAGATGTCAGACCAAATATTCTCTATATGTATGACAATCTTACATTGTAATGATAACCATATACTAGTTCTAGGTATGGATGTACTTTAATTTATCTTTCAAGACATAGTGGTCTTGCTGTCATTTATTAAAAGGGCCACATTTTGCCCAAGTTGCCGAGTGGTAACTCAGGGCAGCATTTGGTACTATAATTTTAATGTAGGAGGACAAGTTGGAAAAAATTTAATATCTTAGCACACAAATTGCATTTGAAAGCTATAAAGTTTTAAGTAACACTGACTGATAATTAATGTTATGCATATTTAAATATAATTGATTATATACTTGTATTAATGTCAGATATTTCCATTTACCAAAAGCCTTATTGAAATATGGTGTAAACATTTAAGGACGATGCATAAAAATTCAGGCCACTGGGGTTATAAGGCCCTAGCCTACCTTCTCTGCCTGAGCCTCCAGCGACTTCAGGTTGTTGGTCACAGTTTTCAACTCCTCTTCAAGCTCAGCACATTTGCTATTATTTTGGAACAGAGGCAGGAAAGGGGACAGGTGGGAGATCAGTCAAGCAAAAGAAATAGAAAAAAAGGGGGGAGAAAGATTGAGAAAAATGAAAACTGAATTACAGAGCAAAAGAACGGCCTAAAAAGCAGCTGAATCCATCACAAATTGAAAGCAATTCATTACAATGCCAGAATTCTCTTTAAAAAACAAAAACAAACCCCATTACAAACAAGTTACCTACAGCACCAGGCTTACTTGAAAGTACTGACAGACCCTTTAAATATGAGATAATTCAGCTTCTTTTTGGCTGCCAAAAGATCAGTTGTAAAGGTTAAATAAATAAAATAAAATAAAAAAGACAAAAGAAAGCCACCAAAGCAAGATGCAAAGAGAGTAAAGAGTGCAGTGAAGGTTCATTCATCATTACTGAGTGAACTAACAGCTATGAAAGCTCATCAAAGACTTGGGTTGCAGTTAAACCTGAAAACTGTATATTAGTATCAGTACCTTATCCTCTGCAGCCATTAATGCTTTCAAGGTTTGATCCATTATTCTTAATTGTTCTTCCAGCTGTCGGACTTGGCTGTTAGTGAACACATGAAATGCACAAAAGCCATTCACAAAATCAGTGTGCAGGTAGGGCATGCAGTGACAAAAAAAAAAACAAAAAAAACACACACGCACACACATACACCTACACCCGTTTACTTTGGTGTTTAACATTTATCTCAGTCGTTACAGTAAATGAACAAAACATAGCTTTGAGTTGAACACAAAGAAGTGTACTGCCAACATCTCGTGCAAGTATAGTACTGTCTCGCAGCATCTCACACACCTCTCCGGGAAGTCACAGCACTTACCCTTCTGAGAGTTCAGCACGTTCCTCAGCACGCTCCAGATCGCTCTCAATGATCACCAGCTTACGAGCCACCTAGAGTAAGGCAAATAAAACAAACAAACAAAATCACACATTATTGCACACTATATGCTAGTGCAGCCAAAGCCTTGGATAATATCTCTCACTATAATGTTCTACGTACAGGGACAATACACTTCTCGTGGAATTACTGATTCAAGGAAATCTAATGGGTTCCTGGCTGCACTAGACCCTTGCTACTTATATAGGCCTGTCTGCATCGCCTGACCAAGATTTTCATGTCCCCTATTCCCATTCACCAACATGACAGTTTTAAAATAAAATTTTCTTTTTATAGCTTCTCTGAAGACAGCAGTGATCCTTCTCTCAGCCATTTTGGAGCAATCATAGCTGACGCACCAGCATCTTGGTATGCGATGTCATGATATCACATAACAGGATGATGGACAGGCCAACATGTGCTTAATCCTGTCTGTGCTATTATTGTCCATTTTTGTCTGCCTTTTTATCAAATATGGTTCTGTGCAGTGGGCTACTCTCTGTGAAGGAATGAGCACAGATCTCCACTCATACTTGTGCAGTGGAATCCGAGTATGGATCAGATCTCTAGCAGACAAGCCGCAGTCTTGTCTCTCGAGGCACTCAGGAGCCTATTTCTCATATCAAACCTTTGTGGGAACAGTGCTGCTCTCTTATTGACAGGGATGCTTGTGACCTTTTGTACTTTAAGGCAAACAAAAGAGAAAAGCTGTAGTCAAAGCCTGTAAGGCCTCAGCTCTTCGATTTGCACTCAGGAACTGACCTCTTCATACTTGCGGTCAGCCTCCTCAGCAATGTGCTTGGCCTCTTTAAGCTGGATCTCCTGGATTTCCATTTTCTCCTCATCCTTCTGGGCTCTGTTCTCTATGACCTTCATTCCTCTGAAAGTCAGGAAAAACAGGAAATATGAGGCTTAGTGCTTCCTAGTTTATCTCCAATCCTGACACCGTTTGGAGTGCATCTTTCTAAGACAGACTGAGATGGATGCAGCATGTCAGAGGTGTCATTTTATTTTACAAACTGTGAGGCAAAACTTCTCAGGTCTAGTCCTGGCTCCCTGCGTGCTTTCATAGGAGGTTGATAAGAAACTAATGGCATCTGAATTAAACAAGAGTGGTTCATTATGCTGCTTGCACAACTCAGCATTACATGAAAGTTTGCAATCAGCAGCCTGACCACATTTTTCTTCAATTCAGTTAAAGTGCTCCCTCACCCAAAGGTGAATGACAAAAGGGAACTGCTTTTGATATCCTAAGAAAGTGATTAAGGACAATATGAAAAGGAGGACTTGTGGCACCTTAGAGACTAACCAATTTATTTGAGCATGAGCTTTCGTGAGCTACAGCTCACTTCATCGGATGCATTCAGTGAAAGTATGTAGCTTAAGCCTCAACTCTCTGGCACTGCATGTTCAACTCCCTGCTGGGTATTTTTCTGAGGTAGATAAATAAAGTTCTTTGTGAGCTACTGTATCTGGACCTTAGAACCTAAAGTCCTTTCTGATCCGTACAAACAAAACATTTAGCATTTTTTCAAGAGCCAGGATTTGCCCACTTTGCTAAACTAAAATTCCCTTCCCCAACTGTTGTGCCATGTGCTGTGTGTCTGTCAAACGCTTCCCACCTCAAAAGGTGGCTGCATGATGAATAATGGTGTAGAGTGAGTCTGGAAAACATTTAGCGACCTTTCCAGACGAAAGGCACTATTATGGGTATTAAATATAATTTTACAAGTCTACAGGTGGGATTTTCAAAAGCACTTAGACCCTGGGCTCCTAACTCACTTAAGTACTTTTGAAAACCCTACCTCAAATCCCAGTCTGGACTGACTGTTTCTCTCCCCTTCCTTGGCCACGAAAGCACAAAACTGCATTAATGCACAAACCATACAAACAGGCAGAGCAGCAGTCTTTTCAAAGGCTTGCCAGTCTCTGGGTGGGCTTCTCAGTTGGATGCTCCGGAGAGATGGACTCTACAGTCTCCCATCAGGAGACTGAGTGTGCACCACCACCACAGAACTCCTGGCCCAAGATACAAAAGTCTTGGGGTTGGATTAACCTGGGTCTCTCAAAAGCTAGCACAACACATCAAAAGCCAAAGCACCAAGCTTAATGGTCACAGGATATCTGTAAAGTTATCTCAAAACCTGACATATAAACAAGGACTAAAGTCTGCACATTCAACATGTTCCTCCAAATTTTAACTGATTGAAGTCAACGCATGTAAAGGCACAGTAGATTACATGCAATCACAAGATATAGAAAGGTGGTTAATTTATTTTTATCCAACCCACATCTGGACAATACTTGGCTTGTCATAAAGATAGCTTGCTGCTCAAATGAGAACATGAATCAGGCCATACCCACCTTTCACTCTCATCTGCTGCCTTCTCAGCCTCCTCCAGCTTCTGCAGAGCAGTTGCCAAACGCTCCTGAGCACGATCCAACTCTTCCTCAACCAGCTGGATACGTCTGTTCAGAGAAGCTACATCGCTCTCAGCCTAATTAGAAGCAGAAAAGAAAATGAATCCATAATACAACCTAAGAGTCTTCTTTTGTAAAGGACCATTTAGATGGTTTTAGAACAACAGTTGGGAGAATGTAGTAAGAGAGAACACTAGTCTAACTGGTTAAGTGGCCAACAGATATTTTTTATGTATCTCTACAGATCTGCGAGCACACACTCACTTGCGCGCTCTCTCTCTCCTACTCCTTCACTGAATTGTGTAGTTATCTCATAATGGAGGACAACTGATCGATTTTTCACCTGATATGAAATACCTAAATACTGTACAACATGCCCTAAGAAACTCAAGTGTTCAGTGAGTATATGTTTATTTTTTGGTTACTATGTATTCAGCTTGCACATATCCTCAGATTACAGAATCTTTACGTAAACATTAAACAATGTCAAAATTATGTTTTGCCCACTTTACCCAGAACATATTATAGGAATATAAAGGGTTTTAAATCCTATATCTTAAATCTGTATGTGGGAACTTGCCCTTCTTTTAACAACGGAAGTTGTATGAACATTTCCTTGAGCTTAAGAAAGGTAGGAAGCAGCATCTCTATGACAAGGCATAGAGGAAACACCCAAAATTACAATACATGGGTGAAGGTATTTGCAAATATCCAGCTCATAAAGGGTGAACAGAACACTAAAAAAAAACCCCCAAAATAAAACATGCAGTACTGGATACTAATGAGTTTTGTTCACAGGAGGGGACACAAGGCTGAAAAACAAGAGTCTAGCCTATGTTACTTTAACACAGGAATCCTGGCCTCACCAACTCTCACAACACATTTGGTTACATATTTTAATAATACTATCTGCATATTACCCTCAGCTTTGCTTTACTTGCATTAGAGATTTGCTTAATCTTCTGTGTAACATTTACACCAAGACTATGCGCCTCTTATCTTTACAAGCTTTCACTTCTGACATTTTCCAAGCTACATTTGTTCTAGTCACAGAGTAAGTACTGTGACAGCATTTTGTAAACAACTCCCTTATTAAGCCTCTCTGTTTCTTTCCAAAGGATATGAAGGGCAGTAGTGTTTAGAATAAAGGGTCACTATTTTAAAAGGAAAATTACATCCAGGAATACAAATGACTTTTAATGCGCTGAAAACTATTTCAACATTTATTAACTTTGCTCTAACAAGGAAGTGTGATTATGGTGCCTGCCATCACTGAATTCCAGTTTAGAGGTGGATTCGGTCATGGATGTGGTCAGCCTCCTCAGTAGAATTCTCTGGTCATGTTTTTGTGTAGAATAAAATAGGTGAAAATAAAAAAAAAAATAAAAAAATTTAAAAAAATCACATCTAATTGAAACTACACATTTCTTTCATGGCAAAGGTACAAGTCAGTGCCTTTTTGCAATTAAAGTTTTTTAGAATCCATCATTTACAGCCATAATAACAATAATATTTGTATCACAGTAGTATCTAGGAATGCTTGTCATGGACCAGGATCCCATTGTGCAAGGTGTAAATGAGGATCGCTTACGTACTGGATAGCATCTATCCTTTGATGCACAGCCGCCACTAGAATGAATGAAATTATGCACACACAACAAGGGCACAAATTGGTAATCTATTTGAAGTCAATGGGAGCATTGACAGTAGGACTCCAGGACTAGGGCCAAAATAAAATAAAATAAAAAAATCCCTAAGTGTCAGTATTCCCTCCAATTTTATTCTTTTCCCAACCACAAACTACAGCTCAGAACTCTTATTAAAGGCCAGAGGTTTTATGAAAAGCACTTGGATATTTTAACTTGAAAAGTACAACTTTTTATGGGGGAAGGGGTTTTCAAATGTTAGTCTAAAAACACCTTGGGAAAGTGGTAATATTACAAGTTAACAATTATGTTAAAACTATTCTTAATGTGATAAGAGCACACAACATACTTAGGAAACACAGGATGATTAAAGTTCAAGTCTTACTTCCTGTTCTACAAGCAGTAACTCAGCAAGGGTTTACCAACTGGCCTTATAAGGCCTATGTTATTCTGCTGCAGAGCAGGACTTCTGTCCTTATATGGTAAGGAAAGGAAAAAATTACTGATGACATGGAGGGGCACTCCCATGGCTAATAGATAAACACAACCCTTCGCACTGATGCCACAGCATTCACTATATACTGCATACTTTTACGGTGAGAAGTCATATAACAGATTGGGGTGGAGTGCAAAATGTATCATCAAATGTGGTCACTAGCAATGTATAAAATGGGGGGGTGGGGGGAGAGGGGGCCGCGCAGAGAGGGGAAGGTAGAATGGAGCATCATTCACTTATTATATTTTAAGAAAATGACAGCCAATGGTGCAAGAAAAGACAGTCTGGTTTAGTGTTCAAAAGTGGTAAGCTATGATATCGTTTGGCTAGAGCTTTAGCTTTTTTATTGTTTGCATTTCTGTACCTTGCACAAAAGAAAAAATATCTAGCTGGTCACATGCCATACAAGTCAAGCAATACACTATGGAAAGGATCATGTAGACTGCTTGCTGCAGTTCATTCTCTGGGAAGAAAAATGGAATCAGAGTGCAGCTTCAGCATGGATGCTTATTTCATATAGCAGAGCCACATATTTAGATGTGCCCATCAGTTCTGTTTTCTCCATTTATTCACATCAGTGCTGACCTCATTCAAAGGAACTTAAAATATCATGCAAATAAATTCTGGAGAATTTCCACAATCTAAATAAAATATTCCAGGAAAGGAAGAAAACCTCTAACTTCCTCTAACGACAACACTTGATAAAATACTTAAGACCGCTCGTATGGATTTGATCCTGCTTCCAGTGAAGTCAGTGGCAAAACTGCCACTGTTTTCAATAGTGTAAGACCAGGCCCTAATAATTTAGTAGCAAAACTCGTTATATACTTAAAAGATTCCACCGTAATCAAGCTATTACCTCAATTGGGGAAATCAGGGTCCTTTACTCCAGGGATCTTATTATTGTTCTCAAGGTCTTAGAAGAGGAATCTATGTTTAAGGATGTTTAATATGGGAACTATTAAATTAGCAAAAGTATGACATGATCTGCCTCTAACTGTGAAAATGGTATGTGAAGTGACTGGTGAGAATGTAAAGTACTGTTACAGAATTCGAATGAGCCATCACTGTTGTCTCTGAGAAGGCCATCTGCAACCAATCAGGAAGCATTCCACTTGCTGATGGACCTCAGATAACACGCTTGTGCATTTACTGCCTAGATTAGAACATGTACAAAATTCCAGATTATAGGGAAAGGCCACTAGAGACCCTACAACCAGTTTTTCTATTATAATGAAATAAATGAATGCTGATAAGTGACATCAAAGAACAAAGTTTTCTATAAACACTGAAGACAGAAAACACCTCTGTGAGGTAAATTTTTACCTTTTTACATATGGGAAACTTTAGGTACAGAGAAAAGGAGTACTTGTGGCACCTTAGAGACTAACAAATTTATTTGAGCATAAGCTTTCTGAAGTGAGCTGTAGCTCACAAAAGCTTATGCTCAAATAAATGTTAGTCTCTAAGGTGCCACAAGTACTCCTTTTCTTTTTGCGAATACAGACTAACACGGCTGCTACTCTGAAACCTGTCATTATTTAGGTATAGAGATACTAAAAGCAGTACCAAAGGACAGTGGCAAAGCAAAGAATAGAACTCCCAGTCCCTTGCAGTAACCACTAGACAAAACCACATCCCTAGACACATACTGGGTGATGCTCCTTGTTTTTTGTAATGTATTCTGTATAAAAACCTGAGCAAAACAAATATTTCTGTAAGGAGTATCTTGGTTCCTACTTTTTATACCTAAGCCATTAACTGACCTTTAAATCATTTGCTAGCCTGAAAAAAAGAGTTTGTTCACTTTAGAGAGAGTAAGGATGGTTAAGGCACTACCCTGGCCCTCAGTAGATCCAGGTTCACTTCCCTACTGTTCTTACAGACTTTCTGTGTGACCTTGGGAAAGTCACTTAGTTTCTCTGTGCTTCGGTTACCCATCTGTAGAATGGGGATAATAGCACTTCTCTACGTCACAGGGGTGCTGTGAGGATAAATATATTAAGACTGTGAGACACTTAGATACTAGGGTAATGTGGGCCATCTAAGCACCTTAGACACACAGATTTGTATAGCATTTAGAGACATTGTTGCCAAATGCTCAGAATTGGCTTCCTCAGTTCATAGTCACCTAAGTAAAAGTAACCTGATTTTCAGAAGAGCTGAGTACTTACCTCAGTGGGAACTGTAGGTACCCAGCACTTCAAAAAATCAGGCCACTTATTTAGATGCCTAAATATAAACTTAGAACCCCACTGTATGCACCCAACTTTGAACGTTTTGTTCACGGTTCTTTAGCACCAACGTTTATGCTAGACAACCTAGTCTACCTAAAATATCTTCAGAATCTTTTATTTTTAAACTTAACATTTTAGACTAATAGCCACAATTATCTAGTACTTATCTGAAATCCAAACCATACTTGCTAAAAATGATATTTGTCTTGAGGTGTCTGTCTGAAGCCTGATGTTACATTCTTCAGAAAAAAACAGAACCCATTTAACTGGCATTTAAAGTAACCATTGTGTTAGAAAAAACTGTCAATGAAGTCTCTAAGTCTAGGTTGTCCAGGAAAAGGAATGCAACAATAAATACTTCTGAAATTTGCAACCGATCAGATACAGACTGCTGTACATCAGTGATCACAAATCTGAAAAACAGGCTATCCTCCCAGGAATTAGGAGGATCACAAACACTAGCACTGAGTTTCACAATGGAATTGAGATTATGAAGCTTCATTAGGCCACTGAGCAGAACACAGCCCACAGCAAAGGGCCAGCTACAGGCTTCCCAGTGTAAAAACTAATTTAAAGGGAAAGGGTGTTTGTGCCCTTGCCTAGCCCCTAAAAGCTGCACAGAACTGAATGAAAGGGTGGGGGAAAGGGGAACAGGGGACAGCCTCCGGGTATAATTTAGTCTCTCCCACCACCTCTGAGATTTGTCTCCAGGATACTGTTGTTCTGCTACGAATCTAAGCACAGCCCTTCCCTTCCCCTACACTCACACGCTCCCACCCCAGCCCCTGCAGAGGCCACATGCAGGGAGCGAGAAGAAACCTGCCCTGCAATCAGCTCTGCCCTGCCCCCAGCCCCAGGAGGGGCAGACAGGGATGTCGCTGGGTGTGTCCGCCAGCAGGGCGCAGGGCAAAGGCTGGGGGCAGAGGGGATGGGGCGCGCAGAGAGCCCTGGGGAGGAGCGGGAAGGGCCGGGTGCCGACCCCACGGAAAAGGCAGCAGCAGCCCTGGGAGGCGCTGCCCGGGGTCCGGTACCTGCTCTCGCAGAGCCCGCTCCTGGTCCAGGGCCCGCTGCAGGCTGCCCGCCTGCTCCTCGGCGCTGTCCGCCTGCTGTTGCAGGCTCCGGATCTTCCTCCGCACCGCCTCCAGCGAGCTCAGCCCCGCCATGGCCATGGCCCCGGCTCCGCACCGCCGCCACCGCCGCTCCCTGCGCTGCGGCTACCCCTCGCCCCGCCTCGGCCCCGGAAGTTCCCCCGCCTCCCCCTGCGCTGCCCGCACAGCGCCCGGGGCTGCCCCGCGGGCTGGGCAACGGGGCTGCGCACGGAGCCCCAAACCGGCCGGTGCCACGGGGAGCGTGCGGGGGCAGGCAGAGGGAGCCCCAGGCTGGGCTCTGCAAATGGGGGGAGGGGCGGATACAGACTCCGCTCTACAATGGGGGTTAGGGGAGGAGGAAGGACTCAGGGACCCGGCTGGGCTTTGCAATGGGGCGTGGTGGAAAGGCCCCAGGGACCCAGGCTAGGCGCTGCAATGAGCGGGGGGAGGAGGTAGGACCCAGGCTGGACCCTGTAATGGGGGGTGGGGTGGAGGGAGGACACCAGGACCCTTGGACTCTGCAATGACGGGGGGGAGGGAGAGAGAGCGCGAGAGATATGGACCCAGGCTGGGCTCTGCAAAGGGGGAGGGGGAGAGACAGACAGACATGGACCCAGGCTGGGCTCTGCAATGGGCGCGGGCGGATGGAGGACACACGGACCCAGTCTGGGGTCGGCACCGGTGGATTCAGCATGGCATGTGCAATGGGGGGTGGAGATCGAGAAGATCCCAGAGTAGCCCGTGCAGTGGGTGGGGGAAGGCACTGGACTCTAAACAGGCTGGGAGGACGGGGAGACGCTAGCCCGGCCGGTGTGAGGCAGGGCCGGTGGGCACGGTCCTGGTGCCTCCATGCATGCATGGGCGTTGCGGAGGGAAGTGAGCATCTAGCGTGGCAGCGAGGGGCGGCAGCGCCACCTGCCGCCCACATTGAGACCCATCGTACCCTCTGTCCACGGGCTGTTCCCCAAGGCGTGAGAGGGGACGGACGGTGGCGGTGTGTGAAAAGTCACCAGTCAAAGCGGGTGGCAGGCCAGGAGTTCCCCACCCTCCCCCTACATCGCAGAGGAACACTGAATAGGGACAAGGGCCCGATTAGCTGACTGGGTCGCTCGGGACGCTATACCGCATATGCCACGTGGTGGGGTTTAAGGCACAGAGGCTGGAGCCTGCCAGGGAGGCTGTGGAGCGGTTTTAACATCTCCGAGCAATGCTCAGGGGGTTGTTAGCCCCCAGGGGAGGTGGGTTGGTGGCTCTCAGGCTCAGGAAGTGCTTTAAGGAGTGACTGAATTTTGCATTTGACTTTCCTCAGTCCCTCATGTGAGCTCACCCCAAGGAGCTCTTCCCCTCCCTCCCTGGGACAGATCTCTCTCTCAAAGCTTGGACCGATGTGCAGTAGGAGGAGGAATACTCTGAATAAACGATTTGTGCTCCCAAAGATACTCTACATATCTGCTTCACCACAACCCCTTATCACAACAGGAGACACTGCATACACCAGGAAACACAGTATTGCAGAGCAGCTTTTAAATCTCTGCCTTTGTCTCGAAAACAAGCCAGGCATCCTAGCTACCCTCTGCTTGAGCGGTTACTGCAAATAAAACTGCTTTCTCCACACCAATTCCAAAATGGTGTTTTTCTTCCAAGTAAAGGGAAATGGCACCATGACTGCATTGGAGACGTCTCTCTTTTCATGAAAGCAATCTAGTAACATGTCTCTCCCCTCTCCTGCCTTCTTCTTCAGGCAAGCTATTCCCAAATAGTTTGCATACTTTTCCTTATAAGGAAGATCTCCCTGGATCTATATGCGGCTCCTTTGAACAAGTTAAATAAACGTCCTGCGGGAGAGCTGCCTCTCATCCATTTAGCCTTATACAGAGAAAGAAAGACATCTGATCCATATTATACAGAGTCTCTCTCTCTCTCACACACACTTTTTTTAAGATCCTGAGCTCCATCTGAAAATTAAGAATCAAGTTGTACAGTCTATACTGGGACTGAAACACTTTTTTTAAAAAAAAAGTAAACAGAAATGTATTGTCTTCTTTCACACACAATTAGATCTTTCTTGTTTACATTTCATCCTCTAAAGTATTTTCCCTGCACCTAAAATACTTTGCTTCATCATCATCTCTAAAACTCCTTCCCAACTGTATTATTTTTAGAGATTCATTTTAAAAGCTGAGTTAAGGGGGGAAATACATCATCAATTTGGAAGAGTTGTGCATCACCTAATTCTATAATTCAGAGGTGAAATTCACTCATAGGGAATTGAATCCTACAATGGTGGCCAGAGGGATCTGGATGTAAAGCTGTAGAAATGCTAAATTTGTACGTACTACATGCATGAAACTAATGCTTGTCAAGGGGCAAACAGATGGGTGGGATGAGGGTTCGGGTGGGGTGCAAGCTTTCACACTATACCATATAAAGCACTGAGCTATATATAACCCCCAGCTTGCTCTCTGGATCTCTATCCCACTGACTGCAGACCTAGCAAGTATCATCTTCTGGGGGGCTGTCTTATCCTTTAACAGGTGAATTATTAACCTCAAATATCTCCAGAAATTAAAATCTAGGAGATGGCCTTCAATTTAAGAACCACGGAGTTAGGGTAACCTAAGTTGTAATGCTTCAGTGAAGGCCTAGCTGATGTTAGGCCTCTTTTGTACCCCAGCAGGTAGCTGTGTATATGTTAAAAGACCCTGTACTAAGAGTAAAACAGCAATCCTTACTGTTCTTGGCCTAGGGAAAAACAGATGCAAATAACTCACAAATAAAAACATCTTTAAATGACTGCAAATACTTTTCTCAGACAGGAGAAATGGTAATTTTTTTCCTCTCCCCCCCCCCTTTTAATCGTCTAAACAAACATCCCACCCACCCCTTACTTACAAGCTCTGTCTAGAGAGGTGAGTACATCTGAAATGCACATGTGCTGAGTGAGCAGAAATCCATGTCTGTGCCTTTGATGGTGTGTGCACCTCATGCAAGAAGGCAGCGTGGTTTCACCTCTGACCAGGAAACACCTGGCCCCTACAGCAAGCATGTCCCTGGGATGCAGCTGGACCGAAGCACAGGCATGTGTCCTGTGCAGAGGGCAGTAGGGTTTGGGAGGGTAGAGAGGGTGTTGTGTGTGTCCACTGGGGGAAGGGGGGCACTAACTTACGTCTGCGGCCTTTTTCTCAGCCACTTCCAGCTTTTCCTGGGCATCTTTCAGGGACTCGGAGTATTTGTCCAGCTCATCCTCAGTGCCCTTCAGCTTCTTTTGCAGAGCCACCAACTCGTCCTCCAGCTGCGAGACGGGTGGAAAGTGGTGGGGTAGGAAGAAGGGGGGGGGGGAAGGGTGCAGCAGGCAATGTGATCGCGCAAAGGAGAAGTGTGGGTGCAGAGGAACAGAAAAGGACAGACGGACAGAGAGAGAAAAGGAGAGAAAGAGTTAGATTCCCTTTTGCTCTTGGCAGAGGCACGCTACCTTGGTGGCCTTCTCTTCTGCTGAGAAGAGGCTTTCCTCAGCCTTGTGCAGCTCCTCCAGCACTTGGTCCCTCGTATCCTCCGTCACATGCAATTGCTTTTCCAATTGCACAATGTCCTCCTCAAACTAGGCGCACACAGAGGAAATACAATGCACAGATACATTTTTTCTGGGTGTTTCCCCCTCTTCCCTTCCCCAACCTCCCCGTAAATGCAATTTAAAAAAAAATCCAACTCCATCCCAGGAAAGGAGTGGAACACATCTGGAAAGCGGCGCTGCATTTGCAAGGGAACACTTCTGCTTTCCGATGCTTAGCATAAAATGGGGGAGAGGAGGCTGGGGAACACATGGGCTAACTTGCACTTAGCTAAATCAAAGCAGAGCTGTCCATCACCAGCCAGCTACTAATTTTTACACTTTATTCCGGCTCTAAGGGACATTTTAAGTCTGTCTGGCCCCCTTTTCCCCTCCCCAAATCCCTCGGGTAGTTATTCAAATCTACTCCACTGGTGTAAATTCCGCTCTTTCGAGTTACTCAGTCTCTTTGGGCGGGGAGGGGAATCCCATGAAGCAAAGTCCAGGCAGCCGGTAAGAGCCCACACGGCGGAGAGCTGGGACAGACTGCTGCTCCAGCCTGCGAGCCGCATGAGGACCCCGAGGGGGTGCTGCTGGTGGCTACCGACTCGCGGGCTGGCACGCGGCGAAATGCAGACCTGCTTGCTCCTGTCCTCCGCCGCCTTCTTGTCCGCTTCGGCTTGCTCGGCTCGGTCCAGGGCGTTCTCCTTGTCGAGCTTCAGCATCTGCATCTTCTTCTTGATGGCATCCATGGTGGCGGCGGGCTAGGAGTCCACACACGGAGGAAGGGACGGGGCGGGCGGGCTGCGGGAGGCGGGTCTGTGCTGGGGCTGAGCGCCGGGCTGCAGTGGGAGCGCCGGCCGGGCAGCGCCGCGCAGATATGTACGTTCCACGGGGGCTGCCTGCATTCCTCAAGCCAGCCATCCAATACTTTTTTGGAGAGGGCTTTTCTCCCCCCCGCCCCCTGGCCTCGTCCCTACCCCCCTGGCTCTCATCACTCCCAGCTTTTTTTCCACCTCCGGCCTTTGCTCTCCCATTCGCTGCCGCCTACCATTTGACCGTGGATATGACTATATATGGGATCCGATGAAGGCAGGCAGGCAGGGGCAGAGTTTTGTGCCTGTGTCTACCCTGAACACGGGGGACGGGACGTTGGCCGCTGCCGGGGGCAGGCCAGAGCGGGTTGCGCGGGTGATGCTGTGAGCCAGGGCGGACTGTCTGCAGGGAGCGAAGTTATGCCTGAGCTGCCCGTCTTGCAAAGTACTGGCGTGAGCCGAGCGCTTGGGTGATTGTTCTGCTCCGTAGCGGGGCTGGCGCGTCCCATCCCGGACCCTCCAATAAATCCCAGCCCCAACGTCACCGGGAGCCCACCGAGCTTTCCTCCCTTCCTGTAATATACAGGCTTCTTTCTAACAGACCACAAGGTATAGGCATTAACTCCGTCGGGTCATTCCCTGGGGTGTGGTGAAGGCTGGAGGGCTCTCTGGCTCACAAATCCATTCACAGTTTTCACACACAGCTTTAAGGAAACCTTAAAGAGCCTTGAGGCTCAATGATGTACAGGGCTGGTGAAATTTTCTTCGCTTTTGCCCTTTGCGCAGGGAGGAAGTCATATTTTTGCAACCACAACTGGAACCGATCATCTTCTGGCTTGTTACTACATTTCTACTGGAACTACCAGATTTGGGAATACAGTAGGGGGAAGAAGGCAAGAGGGCCTGCTAGAGGTTAACTTTCTGCATTTAAGAAAAGGGATTCATTTAAAATATTTCATCTCCTGGCACACACATGGGGACAAATTTGTAAAAATCATCAGTTTATCTGATTGGAGAGGGAAATTATATTCCTAATAGAATGGAGGCAGACTGTGAGCTCTTAGAGATAGGGGCTGTCACATGTTCTGTGTTTGTACAGTGCCTAGCACAATCCTGACTAGGACCTCTGTAATATCAATTACAATTACAAAAACTCAATTAGGACACTGTAATATCAATAATAATTTAAGTAAAACATGCAGTATTGTAAATAGGGATTGATTTATAAACAGGCATCTCTACTTCCCACATCCCCTTCTAATAGACCGATTTATTTTATTTTATTTTATTTTTTTACAACAGTTTTCCGATTTGTTTTCTCAGTGAGCAAGCATCACTGCAACCAACCCCCAGACAAAAGAATGTTGCAGCCAGAAGGATTTCTCTGAGTGTCTGTAAAGTAGTTGTGACAAGGAGGAGGAGTCTGTTCAGTTCCCCCAGAGATATGGACTTGGCCCTCTGAAAATAGCTGAGTTGATAAGGTTGACCAAACAACTTGTAAGCACTTCTGAGGTCAATCATATTCCTCTCCAGTATTTCATCACATGCTCAACCAGGAGGGAGGGGGTGGGTGGGAAACTCCTGTTACACATAAAAGTGTTAACTTTCTAGCAATTTATTTTGGGCTCACTGGGCAGTTAAACTACAGAAAATGTTGAGGCAACTGGTTGGGTATGGGGGGTTGGGCAGATCTTGTAAATCTTTGTACAGTTTGTGCTGTAAAGAACGAAGACAAGTAGATGCGTGTGAAATGATAGATGGCTGCTACTCCTGGGCTCTTCTCATACGAAATTAAAAGATTTACACAAAACCTGAAATGTATGAAGGAAATGTTTAGATCATTTAAGTTAAAAATGAGAGACTCAAGCAACCCTGAAAACAATTAAGAAAATGGTGTATAATTAAATGGAGATTTATTTTCCCTATTGTGGTTTTTCCATAGTGAAATAAGGTGTTATGTCTCATTAGCAAAAGGAGCAAGATACAACAGGATCTCTCTGACCCTGACAAACACAACACAGGTGTACCTTCTCACAATTTAAGAAAGTAAATTGTGCTGTATGGGGAAGTGCATGATCTGCAGGATTTGATTGCACAAAGGTGGCAATGAACCAACCTCATGTGGCTTTTGTCCAGATTAAGGAATCTGAGCAGAAAATTCCTCAATGAGGCTATGATTGGTTCAACTGAATCAATGTTAGCCATAGCAGATGCCACGCTCCAACAGCTTCTAGCATGCTTACCTTCTGCTAGGGTGATCAGACATCCCAATATTATTGGGACTGTCCCGATATTACGGGCTTTGTCTTGTATAGATAACTATACCTGCCTCCCTGGAAAAAAAAAAAGTGTCCCAAATTTTCACACTTGCTTTCTGGTCACCCTAGCTGGGGCAATTAGAGGTGTGAATCAAAGGAGCCAAGGGAGGTAAGTACCCATCTCCCTTTGAATTTCAATGGTCAGAGCATCAAAGGGGGGAAGGGGGAACAAACTAAAAAAACAACCAACCCTAAATTTCAACCCACCAGAGTTTGGGTCTGTGGGCTGGTTTCAGCCCATTATAAAGGCAGTGGCTATTTGCAGGATCTGAGTTCACATATCAAATGGTGTAAAGTGAAAGGTGTTTGGACCAATCTCTACTACAGAATGTACAATTTCCCCAGCGAAGGATATGCTTTCTGTATTGTTATCCCTAGCATAAAGGTTAATTGTAGTGCTCATTGCAATGGTATCTGATTGTCCTACAAGAGTAAAAATTAGTAATAGGGATATCTCTAGAGGATGAAATTCTTCCCTCTGTCTTCCTTTTAAATGGATTTCAACTGAGCCCGGGTGTCAGTGGTTAATTCCATCTGGATGAGGTGTCATAAGACAACATTTTGGGAAAGATATTTTAAGTATACCTAGATAGGAACAAAGAGTCTGTTTTTAAAAATCCTTTGTAAATTAATTTGTCTGCTTAGTCATTTATTTGTGACCAACTCTAACTTCCATCAGCTTCAGTGGGAGCAGGATCGGGCTCTTATCTGGGTTAGTATGGATTTAAAAAAAAATTACATTTTGCATGGCAAACCGATTTTATTTTGAAATGCAGCAATATGTTTCATGCAGATGCTAGGGTTCCAAAACCAAAAATGACTTTAAAAGTGTAAAATGCTGTGGGATTGGGAATACTATGCGGTAGCTCTGTCGCCTCTGGGTAGAATTAATGTCTTGCCAAATTAAAATAACATTCTGAATAGCAATTAAGGAGTGGGACTCATAGGCATGGACAAGACTCACATCCAGTTCCTTTTAGCTGAAAGGATGTTGGCCCTGACCGGGAGCCTCAAGGGTGGGATGGGGAAGTTGGAAAGTAACGTGTATATTGGGAGGGGTAGGGGGGGAAAAGGGGGAGGCAATCCTTGGATCTCTGGAAGATACCTAGAGGAAGTTGCCGCCTCCCCAGGAAAAAGGAAATCTGGAGGTTCTTCTCAAACTAAAATCTCTGATTAGTGCAGTTTGTTTATATCATGACTCCAAGGTCCCCCATGGATCTGAATTTTAAAGGTGATTTAAATTGTTTTTCTGATAGAGACGAAGAGAAGCACAAACATGTACAAACATAGTCATCTTACTTTTCACTGAACATTTCGAAAAGAAAAGGAGTACTTGTGGCACCTTAGAGACTAACCAATTTATTTGAGCATAAGCTTTTGTGAGCTACAGCTCACTTCATCGTAGCTCACGAAAGCTTATGCTCAAATAAATTGGTAAGTCTCTAAGGTGCCACAAGTACTCCTTTTCTTTTTGCGAATACAGACTAACACAGCTGTTACTCTGAAACCTGAACATTTCAAGTTGCTTGGGTATTTCTGCTCCATCTGGCTAGAAAAGGTAGGCCTTGCATTTAAGAGATATACACGATTAATTTCTCTCTCTCTGCTTTAAAAAGTGATACTTGAGGAAAGTATGTTTTGAAGTTACTTATTAATATTGAAAAAAGATGCAGCACAAACACTGATTTTCCAAGATAATGATAATACTCATACGTTACTGGTAGCTACAGTTACTCTTTCACCACTTTCAGCCAGAGATCTCTGCCATAGCACTTCGGCTGAGCTGAGGTTGTAATCCCTCTTAATTCACAACCAGCACACTGGCTCCTTAACAACAGTTTTACCTGTCTCTGGCAAGATGACAAAAGATAATGGACATTGCTAAAAGATAATACCTATTGCAGTTATATTGTGTTTTGTTAAATAAATTAGGCTTTTTAAAAGTTGGACAATACAGAGAAGAAAGATACAGAAAGAGTATGTTTAAACAAAAAGAAAAGGAGTACTTGTGGCACCTTAGAGACGAAACAGTTTATCTGAGCATAAGCTTTCGTGAGCTACAGCTCACTTCATCGGATGCTGCATCTGATGAAGTGAGCTGTAGTTCATGAAAGCTTATGCTCAAATAAATTGGTTAGTCTCTAAGGTGCCACAAGTACTCCTTTTCTTTTTGCGAATACAGACTAACAGGGTTGTTACTCCGAAACCTATGTTTAAACAATACTTTTAGTTTTCCCTGCAACAAAGATTCTGTTATCTAGTAAGTTTAATTGCCAGATGGTGTTACCTCTCAGAACATGACTGGAAGCTGCCTTTTCTTAGACCAAGTACAGCAGTGGAATGTAACTTGAGAGGGATGTCTCTCTTTGTTCAGAGCTCAGGTTAAGTCTGAAAACACACAAAGGAGCAAGTGGATGTAGTATTCATATGCATATTGCCTTGAAACACATCCCTTCCTGATAAGGCTGTTTTTTAGAAATAAAACTTTACACCATCACAGATGCATTTCAAACAGGGTTTTTGAATTTGTCAGGTTACACACACACACACACACACACACTTACACTTTAAAAAATTGTTCTTCTCTCTCTAGATGGCTGTTGTCTGAGCTGTTAAGACATGACACCTAGCTACTGATGAGGACTGGTTTTGCCAGTTCTTGGCAAACAGATAAAGGTGATTAAGCACTCAAATAGGTCAGCTGTATGAGCTCATAG